AGCGCTGCAGAAGGTAGTAAATCACACAGGAAAAGACTGGCCGGACAAACAGCCTCTGATTTTGGCTGCCATCCGCAGCAGTAACAGACTAAGGACAAAAATTCAACCCTTTCAAATTCTGTTTGGACATCCAATGGGCCTAATGATTGATCCTAGTTACCTAGTACAAGGTCAAGAAGAGAGCTCTAATATAACTCAGCATGATTATTTTCAATGGCTCAAACAGTTACAAGAAGATAAAACCACCCTCCAGTATAGGGTTAATCAGGCCATCAAACACATGAACAACAAAATTCAGAAACAGAGGCCCACAAAGGCAGCCCTGTGGGAAACGGGACCAAGTCATGTACCTTAAAATGGGGAAAAGGGGTCACTCACTGGAATGAGAATGGATAGGCCCTTACTCCATAGTGGACTGCCTTAGCCCATTGGTATACCGCATTGAAAAAGATGGAAAACTGAAATGGGTCCATGTTTCACAAATTAAACTGTTTACATAAATAATTATGTTTGAATTCTTTGCAGAAAAGAACATCCCGGAACCTTAGCACGAGGTGCTGCTTAACCATCAGAATTTTAATCCACAGAAAATGAGACTCCAGTGTAAGGTCTGGCTTTACCTGCTTCTGGGAACTTTTAGTGCCCAGATAATTAGAGCGATCATGGGAGAAGATGCAGCCCTGCTCATAAGCCAATCTTTAAGGAATAATTCACTCCCTGCCAACCAATCATGGATTCCTACCTGTGATCCTCAAGGAATGGTATGATAAAAACACTAGCCAACTCTTAAAACCCTAAGGAAATACCTATGTATAATCTCTGGGAAGGGGAAGTGGGATTTAAGGTTTACCTTATAAACACCACAGGAATACCAAATTACTGGGAAATAGGGATTAAAATAGAAGGTCCTTATGGGGATAACAACTGGCATTCCAGCTACCCACGATTACCATATCAATGAGATAAGCCTGTTAAGACAGGGACAATACTAAGAGTTATTGTGGGATACTGCCCAATACCCCGTAGTAAACTGAGCCTATGGTTCCCGGACACATGCATCAGAACCTGGACCAGGGACTATGCCTTTGAAAGAGGTACCCCAATTAAGATAAAGAAACCAGAATTGTTTTGACTCAGTGTGATCCAGTAAAAATCTTGTTAAATCCACAATTAGTAAAAATGAAAATTGGTATGGATTGGACTCAGCTGAACGTGTCTAAATTGGAACCCAAATGTTCACCCTACTCCCTTCCTATTCTAAAGGCCTGGATAAAAACACATCAACACCCCAATGGCTGAGCAAAACGAGATGTCGTAGACACCATATTAGGAGGAGGTGGTTTTGAAGCAGGAATTATTAATACTGTAGACCTGGAGATAACTAAGAATAAGTTAAGTTCCTTGCCACAACTGCAAGATAGTCTCATTCACAAGCAGGCAGATATGACTGTGGACTTGGTACAAATAGGCCTGGGAAACCTAAAAGCAACATGGAATATGTGGGGGTGGTTGACCACCACCTCCTGGCTGCTGTATAAACAACAAATGGAAGTAGGGAATAAAACTGCCTTGGCCATAGGATGTACTGAGATGCAAATTCTTAGTTTAGCATCACTTGAACATGAACTATTTTGGGTAATATCTGGGAATGTACAGGTATTAACGCATCTTTTAAAACAATGGAAGAGGTCCTTGTTTGACACCTACAAACATGAACGGATGCAATATGTTTCCAGCATGGTTAAGTCTGATTTGTTATTAGGTGAAATTATTGTAAAAATTGCTCACGCACAGTCTGTGGAGACAGAAATATAGAAAGTGAGCCCGCTCCCAAAATTGACAATGGGATCCTTTTGGCTACCCCAGGTTATGTGTCAGTGGGCTGGGAAAGAGAAGTAATTTTTGGACACCCGAGGGTGTACGGAGTGGAGCCCTCAGAAATGGGTGTGCTGGTCCCTACCTGTCACCACAGAACCATGCAGCAAGGACACATCCTTGGGAACATGCGTATGGGACAAACTAGAAAACGTGACGTGTTTTATACAACAAATAATGTGTATGTGTTACATCCTGGAAATGGCCCACCTGTTGATCACTTTAGATAAGCTATTACCAGCAGGACAGTGGGGTGGGAGGAGGTATTGTTTCATGATTTCTGTGTGTATATAAAGTCTGCTGCAGTTTCCACGGTAAACATCTGATGAAGTGAGCTGTAGCTCACGAAAGCTCATGCTCAAATAAATTGGTTAGTCTCTAAGGTGCCACAAGTACTCCTTTTCTTCATCCTGGGAAACAGTATTCTGGGAGGATGCAAGTATTAGCCAACCCTCAGGGAATGAATGTAGATGTAATGCCCATGTATTATATACTAGCAATCATACGTACTATTTACCAAAGATAGAAGCAGCACAAAGCACTATAACCGCCGCTCCGGTTAATTTCTCTGTTACCCTTGGCCTGGATTGGCACGATCTAACTGATTGCTTGTTGTCAGAAACAAAGGTGACTCCGTTTTTACAGTAAACACAGAGGGATATAGGGAAGCGTGTCATTCAAATATTACATGCAAATGGAGAAATGCTAAAAATTGCTAGGTCTGAAAAAGAACTGACAGGCTATCACCGGTAAAATGTTTTTACTGGCTGGTCCCTGACTTCTAAGGGCATATGGTCTGTTTCACCCATTACTAGTTGTGTTAATATTGTCCTGTGTTTGCTTGCTAGGAATATGTTGTATGTGCTGTTGGACAAAAAGAATGTTTGTTAAATTACAACCACAAGCTCAAATTGCCTCTCAGTATATTGCTATGAAACAGTTGTATAAAATATGACTCACTCAAGAATTGTTCTTGAGAGGTCAAAAGGGGGACATGTAGTAGTAGGATTTTATGTTTGTATTTTGTATAATTTAGAATGAAGGATAAAGATTAATAATGTAGTATGTATTAAATGTACTGATGTATGATTTGACCATATCCTGCCAGCCAGCTTTTTGACTAGCAGAAAAGAATGGCCTAATGGGCCATTGGTAGAGATGCATCAGCCAGAATCAGTGTCTGGGCTGATTTCAAGGCAGTAACTGACCTTTGAGGGTCACCAATTTGTTGTAAGTTTAGCATTTTAAAATAAGTAAAAGAATGCAATGATTGTTTTTCTTTTGCATTGCAACTTGATGTTCCTGTTCAAAATGTTCTGTGTAAATTAATTCTGTGTTGTGTGTGAATGAGGAATGGGTGTTAAGAGAGAAATGTGAAGGCCATCACCGAACCAGATATTCTAGGGAGGAACCGAAGACAGATGCAAGGGCGCCAGGAGGCTGCAACACACCCCAACTGAAATGTCAGAGGAGGGCAGATTGACGACTCTAAAGATAAGACAGGCACCTATCAATGGTGACAATATAGCTTTGATCAAAACCAGCAAGGGGTAACTCCCTGAGAGACTTGATGAAAGAACAAGACAAAGGATGAGAAGGACAATTTAGGAAAATGAGCACTCGTCAAACAACAATTTATTACAGCATGACAGCGCAAAACTAATTGGTCCCAATGAAAAAAAATCACTATATAATCGGGGGCCTTGCCATGAAACTTTGGGTTTGTCCTGCCAAGACTTCCCCAGAGCATTGTATCACGACCAACGGAACCCAGCTCCTCCCTATCAGTGATCAACGAAGCTGGCCACTAGATTGATCCGGACTCTAGACTGGTAACTATAACATCGACTGGCGGGACAGTGTGTGTGTGTGTGGGGGGGTGTGATTGAATGCATATGCTAACTCTTGTATCTTCAATAAACATGGCGTATTGCCTTCCCCCTGAAAAAGATCCTGGGTGCTTCTTATAAGCATAACAGCTTCCATCTTCCAGCCAAGGGGAATGGATTTCCCTTCAAAGCTGCTCCTAGATCAGTTGACAGAGGGCTTCACTGGTAAACAGATGCTCACCTCCCCGTTCAAACAGGGATAAATATGTAAGGCCAAAGTCTCTACAGGTGTCAATGGATCCAACTCTATTGATTTTAACCGAGCAGTGCCCATTTACACCCGTCAAAAATTTGAACGTAAGAATATAAGGATGGCCATACTGGGTCAGACCAATGGTCCATCTAGCCCAGTATCATGTCTATGACAGTGGCCAGTATCAGGGCTTCGGGGGAGGGTAAACAACAGAGCAATTTTGGAGAGATCCACCCAGTCTTTTCCCACCTTCTGGCAGTCAGAGGTTTCGGGTCACCCTGAGCATGGGGTTACATCCTTGTCTATCTTGGCCGATAGCCACTGATGATCCATGAACTTAGACTGATTATTTTTTTATCCCAATTATACTTTTGGCCATCACAACCTCCCATGGCAACGGGTTCTACACTTGTATGCGCTGTGAAAAGGTAATTCCTCTTGTTTGTATTATATCGGCTGCCTATTAATTTCATTGGGTACCCCCTGGTTTCTGTACTCTGAAAGGGTAAATAACTCTTGTTATTTTTCCACACCAATCATGATTTTATAGACCTCTAACATATCCCCCGTTAGCCATCTCTTTTCCAAGCTGAGCGGCTCTAATCTATTTAATCTCTCCTTAATTGGAAGCTGCTCCATACCCTTAATCATTTTTGTTGCCCTTCTCTGAACCTTTCACTTCCACTACATCCTTTTTGAGCTGGGGTGACCAAAACTGGACACAGTACTCCAGAAGTCGGTGCACCATGGATTTATATAGTGGCAATGTGATATTTTCTGTCTGATTTTCTATTCCTTTCCTAATAGTTCCTAACATTCTGTTCACCTTTTTGGTCAGTAGCCTCCAGAATAATCAAATGTAGATTCTGTGGGCCCGTGAAGCAAAAGAAGGTGATGTTCTCAAAAATTTCCTCTTCATATTCCTGACCACGTGTTTGGAAAAAAAGAGGCGGACAACCCCCTAGAATTATCCTTCTACCACCCCACCTCCATGGCAGTGCAATGAGAGGGAACCACTACAATCCCCCTTTGGGAGTACTTACTTGTTTCTGTTTGAAAGCTTCGAGTAAGGCAGTTGCATGATCAGGCAGCAGTGGGAAGGAGAGATGGGGTCCAGTGTAGGAATCTGGCACCTCTACAGATTCATAGTCGCAGAGTTTTTCCAGCTCTGTGTCTTTGTAGCTTTCTTCCTCCGTCAACATGCGGCTAATGAAGTCCCCTGGGTGGAGTTTAAAAAAAAAAAAAAAAGGGTATTCGGGCCCAATGTGTAATTTCAATGACTTGCTAAAGATCATCAGGCTGGAAGGGTATTGGAGAAAAACCCTGCAGTAGGCTCCTCTCAACGTTTTAGGCTTGATTCCAAAGCACATAATCAAGTTAGAAACTAGACTGTGTCTGCATTAGGAGGAGAGGAGGGAACTCAACCTGGTCAAAACTCAGAATTTGCTGCATGGAGGAAATTTTGACATTTTGAAATTTCTTTTCATTCCGATGCAGAACGAAAACAACTATTTTTGAAATTTCCCATAAAACAGACATTCTGAAAACTCTGAGCTTTTGGAAACTTTTCGTTTTGAAATTCCAAAATGAAATTCAGACATCTGAAAGAAACGCGGACATTTTCCAAAATGAAATTATTTTCAAATTTTGAAAAATAAAAATAAAAAAATTCTCTCCGCAGGAATTTTCACTGAAATCAACATTTTTTTTAAAATGTTTCAATCTTGACAAAAATGGGGTTTCCCACAGAAAAAAAATATTTCAACAAAACATTTCCATGCAGCTCTAGATGTGACTCTGACTAAATGTAGGCAAGGCCCAGTATGCTCTGCGGCAAGCATTTCTAAAAGCCCTCATGATTTCTGCAGCATTTTGGTGCAGCCAGTCTGTGGTGAATTTTTTGTGTTTTTTCTCACCAGAATTAAATGTGAAAATGAATGGTATAACAAGGGCAGCGTCTCTTGTGTTATTAATTTTGATATAATAGTCAATGTATTTTACTCTTCTGTATCCAGATCTTCAGTGTAGCCCAAATGTATTATGTATTGACAATACAGAATCATGTTGTAGGATTTGTTGAGGGAGAAAAGGGTGGGGCACCCAGTTAAGCGAGAGAGGCACTTTGAGATGATGCGATAAGCACATCAGCTGGATGTATTTGCTAAAGTGATCAGCAGTGAAATAGTTAATGCTGACATGTTACCTGTAGAGTTAGAGGTAACACACCACTGGGGGAAACTGGGAAGTCCATACCCCTTAGAGCTACTGTTTTCAGGCTGTCTATCAACTCAGGAAGGCAGCACTGCACTGATTTGCAGTCATATTTTTACAGTTCTCGCCACAACCATGAGGGCTAGAAACTTAATATTTTTAAAGAAAATTAATATTCTGGAGCAAGTTCTCCAAGGGTGGAGTCTGCAGCTGCAAAATCATGGAATCCACAGGACCCTGATTATTATCGTTAGGGAACATCTGACAATGACAAGCTCTTTTATAACAATAATATTATGGATGTGTACTTTTATTCCCCCCTACCAACTCCTAGAGGGGTAGTGGCTGCTCCAGATCCCCCATGGGATCTCCCTATTTGACTCCTGACCCCACTTCAAACTCCTGAGGCCTGCGTTATAATCATGGTCTGTCTAACGCATGCACTGTAGTCATGGATCCATTTGACATCTAGACAGGTCTCCCTTCAGATCCCTGTAAGGTCACTCCTTAATCAGCTAGAAGTATCAGCATTGAGCCATGTGAGTCCATCTCCGTCTCCACACCCTGCACTGAGCGTGCAGCCTTCAGTGCCGCAAGTACCATATCTACGTATGGAATACACAGGCTTACTCTCTTTGCTGCTGCTTGGGGTGAAGTGGTCCATAAGGTAGCTGAAGAAGTTGTGAAGCTGCAGAAGACAAGAAGGAGTGCCATGTTATTCACCCTAAGTTATGAGCTAAAGCTTTGAAAGCTCTACCGCGGGGCGTTCTTCAGAACACAGCTCCTCCTTTCACCTCCTTCCTCCTCCTTTGCATATTGCACTGTATATACAGCAAATCCGGTCACAGCTGTTCTCATTGTGGAGCAGAACAGTGGTCTATATAGACCAGTATCCACTCTCCCAAAGAGGCCAATGTAAAATAATTCCATGGAAGATGTAAAACCCACAAAATGTAGCCAATTGTGCAGTATTACACCATGGGGGGGAAATTCTCTATGAGCTCTAGGTGGCTATTAATTTATACTGTGATGCCTGTGGATTGATAGTCCTGCTCATTTCTACCCTGGGCAATGAAACTACCGATATACTCTTATTCCTATAAAAGACCCATCTTTTTTTTTACTCTTGCTGAGCCGTTTGCCTCAAAATATCCCCATGCGGAGAGATCCACTAATTAATTATACATTGTGTCCAGTGATATTTAAGTAACCATCTTTCCAATTTAATGCTAATTGTTAACAGCCAGATTTTCAGATGAGTTCATCCCACTGGAAGCATGTTGGGTATTGAACAGTAAAAAAAAATCTGGCCCTGGGAGACCAAGAATAAAGGGCTTCATCCAACGCCCAGTGAAGACAGTGCAAATCTTTCCACTGATGTCAATGGGCTTTGGATCAGGCTAAGGATGAGCATTACCTTATAAAAAGAAAAGGAGTACTTGTGGCACCTTAGAGACTAACCAATTTATTTGAGCATGAGCTTTCGTGAGCCACAGCTCACTTGTCATTACCTTATAACTGCTTCTGGAGTGCATGCAAAGACTCCCTTTGCTTCACTCCACCCTGTTTTATTTCAAGGGATTTGCAGGTATGGAAAATAAGAAATCATAGCATCCCTCTCTGAGGGTCTGTCCAGATTTCAATTTTCCCTTCAGCTACTGTTTCTCTGATCTAAAATATCTCACCTGCTGAAACAAAAGATGCAAACTTCTGCTTAAGGCAGTCAGGTGAGAAAATGCTGAGCCAAGTTAAGCAGTAAGCGCTCATGTGGCTTCCCTCCTAGTGTTCATAAACCCCCAGAGAGGAGCTGTGACCTGAGGCTGGGTTACCAAATTACGCCCAATCCTGTCCCATTTCATTTGCTCCCCATGGCTTCACGATTAAGTATTTCTGGCTTCCATCATATACAAGTGAACGGGGACTAACAGGAAAAAGAAAGTCAACGTGAAAAAGCCAGAAGGGGGCTAGGAAGCCATCCGGACGTCAACACCTTACCAGAAAACAGACATTAACTAATACCAAGTATGAAATATAAATAAAGGAGGCAGCAAATCAGGAGCTGCTATTTCATTGCAGGAGACAACTTTTCCTGCCAAGCAGCCACAGAAACAGCCTTCAGATGTCTACCACAAAAGCCTCGAGATGCCACCCACTCATTGGCAGGAAGTGTCACGCAGCTCATGCCTGCTCAGGCAGAACAGAAAACACACATAAGAAAGGGGAACAGAGAAGCTTGCGAAAAAATTTCCTCTATATTTAAAACCCAATTGTGGAAGTCGCTAAATATGCATATTACTCACTTACCTACCACATGATCTTACAGTCACCCTTCTCCTCCCCTCATCTCATCCATTCCCCTCCGCTCACACACATACAGTGGATCTTGTATTTTGTCTTCATCACTGATCAATTTTTATTGCAGTTGCTCCTAAAGGCCTCAACCCAATTGGGGCCCACTGGATTTAGATGAAATGCTAAAAGATGGCATGTGCAAGGCCCTGTACATGCACATAGTTTCTGCTCTAAAAAGATTCCAATTTAAACAGACAACAGGAATTGTATTATCCCCATTGTACAGATAGGGAACAGAGGCACAGAGGATAAGTAAGTGACCTGCCCAAGGCCGCCCAGAAAGTCTGCTGCACAATTGGGAACTGAACCCAGGTCTCCAAAGTCTCATCCCAGGGCCTTCCTCTCCGGGAAAAGATTGTGTGGGTCTGCAAAGCACTATGCACATCCATGGCCCGATAAGAATTATGAAGACAACAACAACAAAGGGCACATGATTCCATTGTCTCCTTCTCTTTAGCACCATACCTTGATCTGATCCTGCTCACAGGAGTACTCTATGGATTGGAAAATTCTCCACGTGCACCTTCGGCGCATCTCTAGCCGGGCAACATAGCGTCGATACCATCTTTGGATCAGGACAGCGGCCTTGAAGGCTGTGACACAAAGAACAGAACCAGAGAGCTGAGCTGCAGTATCTCAGCACCAGGGCAAGTGCTCTTCTCCCTCCCAGCTATGCAGGGAAAGAAGGGAGTTTTCTCCCTCACAAGTGAATCGTAGGAAAGAATTAACTCAGGCTGGTCAGAAAAAGAGAATTCCATTTTGGCATTTGGTTTCGTATCAGGATGAAACTAAGATCGTTTCCCATTTAAAAATGAGAGAATGAGACAGACCTGAGACTAGCCAACAGCCCACTGGTTACGGCACTCACCTGAGATACAGGATGCCAGGTTCAAGACCCTGCCCCAAATCACAGAGAGCAGGGTCTTGAACCTGGTCTCCCACATCCCAGGTGAGTGCCCAAACCACCAGGCTCTTCGCTGTTATGAGGTCTCTCTCTCTCAGTTCCATCCCGGACTCGGGAAACCTTCCCAGAGAAAGTTAAGTTGAAACAGACAGGTTTTTACGTCAACAAATGGGTATTTTCCAACCAAAATCGTTTTGCTGAAAATTTCCCAGCCAGCTCAGATGTTAACATGACATTATCAGTTGTTCTTCTGGGTAAATCCTAACTAAGAAACACTTTCTCCACAGTCATGAAAGAAAAGTCTGATCCCATAGAGCTCTGTCTATTGTCAGACTCCCAAGACACTTCTAGCTCTACCTGGTGGCTCCTCATGGCACAGTTATTATTTAACCAAATCCTGCCTCAAAAAGCTTAACTCTAAATCGACAATTTCCACTTGACTCTCAAGTATCATTATTCTCATTTTACAGATGGGAGCTGGGCCATAGGGATATTAAGGGATTTGCCCAAGGTTACAGAGTCTGTGGCAGAGCCAGGATTTGAACCCAGGCCTGACCTCTGTCCAGTACCTTAATAAAGCTGGGCTTTGCCTGCTCTAAGTCAAATAAATACAGGGCCTGATTCATCACTGCTACTCTAGTTTTACACAGCTATCACTACACTGATTTCAGAAGGGTTACACTGGCACAGAACTGGCCTAACACAGTGATGAAGCAGACCTGAAATCTCTACCTCTGCTTTAACCTAGCTCTCAGCACATTTCTGTAGGCAACTCTTGCCCATCCACTCTGAGGTGAGCCTCCAACCCATGCATTCCTGTATAGGAAACAAGCATCTACTCCCCAAAACCACTGGGAACACACAAAAGCCACCGCCTAGGTTTGAAACATGCTTCCGGCCAATGAACCGTGCTAATACTTAGCACGCATATATCAGTAGTGCTTTGCATTTTATTCATTCATTAAGCAATCCCTGAATTTACAGCTATTCCCTGCGCTAATAAAAACCTGAACACAAAGGCAACATCCTGAACAACCCTAAAAACAAGGACACCCATCGTAAGTACAGTAGAATCTCAGGAATGGAGGTTGTTCCTAACTCTGAACAAAACATTGTGGTAGTTCTTTCAAAAGTTTACAACTGAACATTGACTTAATACAGCTTTGAAACTTTACTACGCAGAAGAAAAATGCTGATTTCCCTTGATATCTTTAGTAGTTTACATTTAACATAGTCCTGTACTGTATTTCCTTTTTTTTGTTTTTGTTTTTGGTCTCTGCTGCTGCCTGATTGTGTACTTCCTGGTTCCCAGTGAAGCGTGTGGTTGACTGGTCAGATCGTAACTCCAAGGTTCTACTGTAATCCATCACAGTCAAAAGCCACAATGAACACATATACTTTGCACACTGCCCTATAAATGGCTGCAAACGTATGTGACCTCAGACTAGTGGGTTAGCGTGAATTTGAGGCTACCAACCTCAACTGTTCAAATCTAAGGACTGTTAGTAACAGCACCTCAGCTGATCTCATCGCGGCAATGGGACATGAGTGGAGGCAGATAGCTCAGGTTTAGGTCCTCGCAACCTGAGCTAAGATTTCAAGACCAAAATGAACACCTGAAATTGCACCTGGGGACAAACAGGAAGCTAGTGCAGCCTTTGGACTGTTAGTGTAATGTCCTCTCTATGGCCAACCTGCAGGCAACCATGTTCTGCAGCAGTTGCAGTGTCCCAGCGGTCTGCAAGGTTAGCCCGGCATGGAGCACACTGCAGTAATCCAAGCTGGAAGTGACAGATTACACACAGGAGAGATGAGGTCTCAATCCTCACACTCGGCAGATTCATCGCTTCCAAGGCCAACACTATGCTCATCTAGTCTGACCTCCTGTCTGACACATGCCACAGAACTTCCCCAAAAGATTTCCTAGAACAGATCTTTCAGAAGAACATCACCTCTTGATTTTAAAATTGCCAGCAACAGAGACTCCCCCCCACAACCCTTGCTAAATCATTCCAATGGCTAATTATCCTTGCTGTTAAAAAACGTACACGTTATATCTGGTCTGAATTTGTGTAGCTTCAACCTCTAGCCACTGGATATTGTCCAACCTTCATCTGTGAGATTAAAGAGCCCATTGCCAGTATTTGTCCCCAGTTAGGAATATGCACTTCCACCCAGTGAAGCCAGCTGGGAAAGCAGGATCAATAAAGGGTCCAGAATCAGGGGTCAGCACCACCATGTTGCGTGACGGACACTTGACAAAATTACCATACTTAGTGACGGACACTGGGGGGGGCTATGTCATTCAATTTTTTGAAAAATTACCACGGACCTCAACTTTTTTCCCATGGACACATTGCTGACCCCTGTCCAGCATTCCCCCTAAACTATGGGCCCCAGGAATGGGTGTATGCACACAATGATAGGACAGGCACCATCCCGACCAACCTCTCAAACTCTGAGTCTTTCCCTAGTCAGCCAGCACTCATCCAGCCAGTTCACTCTCACAGAAGTCCCTACATTGGTCTGGCACTGGGAAAGCAAGGACACCACCCTGTGCAAATCAGATACAAAGGAGACCCAGACTGACACCATCAGCATATTAATGGTGCTTGCAGCCCTAGTCAGTTCACTATCTCCTGAACAATGAATAGGAGAGCAGGTAGACCAGAACTCTGTCGGGCACTGGAAAAGATTTGGGGTGGGGGCCTTGTGGGGTGCCAGCCTCAGAAGATCTGTAGAGGAAGGAATGGAACCACTCGCCAGCTAGCCTGCCAACTCCACAGATGAGTGAACAAAGCCCTGAGTCCAAAGCACTGTACACACATTAACTAGTTAATGCTCGTAGCACCCTGAGAGTAAAATGAGGACAATACTACACTTGTGGTCAGGTGACTTGCCCAAGGTCACACTGCAATTTACTGGCAGGGCTAGGATACAAACCCCAGGAATTCCTGGCTCCCTTCCCCATGCTCAGTCCACCGTCCGACACTGTAAATCTCTCTCCTCCTGTGCCTAGTAACTGCAGGTGTCTAAGATCAGGGCAGTATGTTACCTATCCTGGGTATTTAAAACCTAGTCACACCTTGGAAAATCCTAGCTTTTAGTGGCCTGCATCGAAAGTTAATTTAAGTCGGGAGGGGGGTTATTATTTTATATATATATATATATAAAAACACACACACACAAATTTGCCAGTTTGATTTCCTGACCTGATTTAGCCTGTGGGACTATTTGGGGAAAATCTATGCCATCTCAGCAGCCGCCTCCATCATCTGACACCTACTTCTTTGTTATGCGCAATGACTTTCTCATTATTTTTAGGCCCTACTCCAGACATTGAGGCTTAAAGCATATTTTAACACTGTTCCTCACTGACAGCTTGGGTTGCGGGACAGGCAGCTGCTTCAAAAATCTAACAGCTGGGCCAAAAATAAACCCACCCCCGGACAAGCGCATTAGGGTGTGTCTACTTTGCAACAAAACACCCGCAGCTGGCTCGTGTCAGCTGACGGGGGCTCACAGGGCTATAAAAGAGCAGTATGGATGTTCAGGCATGGGCTGGAGCCCAGGCTCTGGGACCCCACAAGGGGTCAAGTCTCCACTGCCTCACTCAGGAATTCATACGCCCACTTTAAGGCCCTTATCTGCCCTCCACACAGTCCGCAAAGCAAGCAAAAGAGACTCATAAATCATGGTCCAGATCCTCAGCTGGTGTAAATCAGGGCCTATTCTGACTATACTCCAGCTGAAGATCTGGCCCCATGATTCATCTGACTTACCACAAAATCGGCCTGGGAAAATTATATCAACAGTTTGTTCGTGCTAGGCCATGGTTTCAGATCACAGAGAGAAAGGACCTTGAACAAATTGGCAAACTGCAGACAGAATTATCGGCAACAGAAACTGCCTAATATACAGGTGCAATTAGATAATAAGATGCCTGCATGACCTCATGTGCAGTACTAAATGTATTATATAGCTGGACCACCTAAAAGAGAAGTGCCCAAGGTCACAGAGTAAATCAGTGGCACAGATGGGACCAGACTCAAGAGTGAAAGCCTGACTCCACTGAAGTCAATGGGACTTTCACTATTGACATCAATGGGGCCAGGAAAATCCCTTGGTAACAATCCCTCCCTCAGGAGACAGGATCTACCCATGTTCCACACTGATATCCAAAGACATTCTGCTTAAATACTTGGGGCAAAATATTCCAGGTACTTTATCTTAAATTGAATCCACGGACTGAAATTTAAACCCAGTCCCCCTACGTAAAGCAGTACTTCCCTCTTTCTCTAAAGCCACTGCACATTAGAAACAGCAAAGACAGCCCTCAGAAAGTTGAGTTACCAGTCATTTACATTTAAAACCAGATCTTTTAAGTCCACAAAAGATTCAATAGTGACCATACACTGAGCATCTAACATCACATGTGCATTATTTAGTACTGCTAATGTATCAAAAGGTAAGTGACTGTTTTGTTGTGCTGCTTTATACATTATTACAATTGAACAACTGAAAAAGCCATGTGTTCTAATCAACCAACTTACCTGGGTGAGCTGCATCTGGCAGTGTTTGAACTGATTTAAAAAAAGAAAGAAGAAGAAAATAAAGATTTTCTCACATTTTATGGGGATCTGAGTAATAAACTGAACAGCAGACACACACAAACACGTAATTATTCACTAGAGGATATAACTCTGCTTGTTCAGCAAACCCAAACAGAGGTAATCAGAAACTAAAATATGCCCATTCATTGTAGCAAATACAATTCAATAAAACCCAAATCAATGGTGAATAAAATATTGCCCTTTTCACCTTGTCTGAAATCATTAATAACCAAATCTGGTCACTCAAATGAGACTTTTCCAGGAGTATCCCTTAAACAAACTTCCCTGGAAGAATGTCAACCTGTCTAGATATTACAGGGATGAGCACATTAGAAATACAAATAGGTAGTTGAATAAACTGTCTGATTTTAATTTAATGCCTGTGTAATTAAGGAAACCCTACTTTCAAACCTCTACACAGTATCAAAAGTAGATCAATCAACAGCGTAGGTTCCCTACCCTAAGTGAAGATTTATGATTCTTAGCAACTTTAAGATAAGATCAACAAAAATATGAAGTAAGGTGCATTATTTTGGCAAATTTTCAACTTAAAGTTTTAAATTTTAAAAATTAAGGTTACGTGCCTAAACATAACAAAAGTCAAGAAATAACAACATTAAGACCATACACATCTTCACCACTGCCCCTTTGTGCACATGCATTGCAATGCAGTCTTCACCGACAGTCACATACTACCATATTTCCCAAATAATACAATTACCATACTAAAAGAAAATAGACCCTTGCACAAGTGACATTTTTGCTGAGGATTGTCCTGGATTCTCCAGGAATTGAAGATTAATCTTTAATTAAAGACTATGTCATGTGATGAAACCTCCAGGAACTTGTCCAACCAAAACTGGCAGCCCTAGATAACTGTCTAGCAGTCTGGAGTCCCCTTCATGTTCCTGCTCATATGCCTCATTGATCTCCAGTGCCTCTGGCCCTACTGTGTATAGCAAGATGGAAGATTTCACCCTCTCCAGGTTGACCACAATGTCATTCACTTTAAGGAACACGTGAAAGCACCTCAGTGTCTTATTTTCTGCCTGGTTCCTAGTGTTTCAAGTGGCTTGGTTCGCTCCATTCCCACCTCACACCCTGAAGATTACATTTTCTATTGACACCTTGTAATAAGTACCTTCTGGGCAGAGACTGGAGTTTAGTTCTGACTTCAGTCAGTGGAGGGGTCAGAGCTAAAAAAGGTTATACCCCCATTCAGTGGCTACTTAACAGGCACCTCTCACAATCCATAATTTCAAACATTCAGGAAAGTTGGGGTGCTCAGGAGAACAAGTTCAAGCAAGCAACAACACCCTTGCTTCCCAATGTGGACAAATGGACAAAACCATTCTGTCCTTTGGGGGATGTGCCACACGGTTTACACATTGCTCAGCAAAACGTCACATTGGAGCATAAGGCAACATACAAAAAGCAGATGAGACATAGGATCAGTTTGAGGCCAAATCAACCGACCAGCAGCAGGTAGGATGCGAGAGAGAAGGCAGCTCCCTGGTGGCCTGTTGTAGCATTAATAAAACAAATGGGGTTACATTTTACTCAGACATATGCAGGGACTCTGGCTGCACTGGGAAACTCTCAGACGAATTAAAAATGGAGAAAGCCCCAAATGGTTAAAAAAGAACCAGCTTCAAAAGGGCAGATGTTAGATCCTGATCCAAAGTCCACCAGGAAAGACTTTCATTAACTTCAGAGAGCTTTGGATCAGCTTACGCAATGATCTCAAGCCTGAAAAGAATGGAAAGAGAGACTCAAACTGCACGTTATGGATTCCTCACTGAAAATTGGTCTAACAGATCCTGTCCATATTAAATAAAAGAAAATCAAGTATTAAAATGGGAACTGGAATTGGTGAAGAACTCCAGAGAGCCAGATCCACAGCTGGTGTATCTCAGCGAAGCTCCATGGCCTCAATCTACACCAATTTACCCCAGCTGAGGATCTGGTCTTCTTGTTCATTATAACAGCATCAGAAGTGGGAATTTCACACTAAAGCTACAAGGGGAGGCTGTAGGGTTTTGGTTTTATAGTGGTGCTTTCCCCATCTTAGAGACTCAGAGGTTAGAAGTGGAAAATGAGCTAGTCCATTGAAATGACATTTTGAAGTTTCTCTTGTGGAGCTTCCTCTCCACAGTTCCATCAGAGAGATCAGAGATCGCCTCACTGGGAAATGGACAGGGGCTTGGTCCCAGTGGATCCTCTGAGATGTGTGTGCAGTCCTGGCCCTCTGCACTCTTTCTTGGGCTCCCTGTCCAGGCTGCCCCCTTCTTGGTTCCACTGTAGCATGGGTCTAATGGAGTCATGCTGCTAGGGTTTCTGCAGCCCATGCCTTCCAACAGAAACATTCCCAGGTGATTCCACAGAATGCAGGGTTATTGCCCTTAGAATGGCCATGGGGCTGGTGGAAGATGATACATGTCCATCTAGCTCTGCCCCTAATCCCTCTCCACACAGCTCTGTAACAGGGCTTCTGAAAGGTCCAGGACAAGCCAGTAATGCAGCTGCAGAGGCAGGGATTTTGTGGACCCAGGACAATTTGGACCAAATAACAGATCCAGTACTTAGTTGCACATGCATAGCTTAAAACTCAGATTCCTTATCTGAAGAAAAGCTGAAGATTATGTTCAGTTTGTTATAGACCAACCCCTGTATACGCTGCAGCAAGCTGGGTCTGAACCACACAGCAACACCTTTGGTTCTGTAGTACTCTGATGTGGCAGACATATTCTGTGACAGTCTCATTAAATAACAGACAGTTTTTAAATGAATGAAATCTGAAAATGAATATTACACTCAGACCAGTTTCCTCTGTTTTACTTATTTTAAACTAAATTCCATTGTATGTTCTAGTTTTCAGAATCTCGTTTTTAACTGACAAGCGCAGCTGCATGGGAAGTCAGCAGGAGGAAGCTGATTATTTTGACAGCAGGGTACAAGGCACGTGAGACTTTTGGCAGTTGGGGATGCAGTTTCGGATTGCGGAATAAACATTAACTGGATGTTTCTGGTAAAATGATCAGCAATGAAATTAGTAATGTTCCTATTTAAAGTGCCATCTGTAGGTTTCAGAGTTAACAGACATTTGAAATGAATGAAGCCGTTGTAGCCACTCAGAGCTAGTATTTCAGGTTGTCTATGGACTCAGGAAGACAGTACTGAACAGGTGTACACTCAGCTACCCTTTCAAAGTGGTTGTCACAACCATAAGGGCAGGAAACAATAACAGTTAAAACAAAGATTCTGAAGCGTGATTCCAGGGTATGTGATAGACTCGGCAACAAGTACCATGGCTGCACAGTGGACAGGGCCTTGATTATAGGTTTAAGATGTAAAGATGCTCTGTTAGGGGTACCTCTGCACAAGGAACATACGAGGTATCTATTGTGTCTATGCTAACAGCACCACCCTGTGTGACATGGAGCTCTTTAACCGAACCCTAATGTTCGGAAAATACTTATTAGAGAGACAAGGTGGGTGAGGCACTCTCTTTTACTGGTGAGTGAGACAAGCTTTCAAGCTTACACAGCTCTGAAGGAGAGCTCTGTGTAAGTTTGAAAGCTCGTCTCTCTCACCAACAGAAGTTGCTCCAATAAAAGATATTACCTCGCCCACCTTGTCTCTCTCATACCCTGGGACTGACATGGATACAACAACACTGCAAACAAAATACTCATGTAAGATACCGGCTGCATTTACCGAGATTACTTGGGAATGTGGAGTAGGGACATACAGAACATGGTTAACAATATGTATGGACTTCACTGAATTTAAGATACCATGGCTATCAATATCTAGATGCCTTATTGTATTTACAGCTGGGCAAGGTTTTTTGACCGAAACTTTTTTGGGCAATAAATGCAGATTCGGTGCCACCAAAACAGTGCAGTAATTTGTGTTTGTTTTGCTGAATGGTTTCAGGTTAAAAAAAAAAAAATCAAAACACTGTTTTTTTTCAAAATGATTCCAACCCTGTTACAGTCTTAGGCAACTGCTGCATTCTGTTGAGAAACTGATTTTTTATTTCATTTATGTCCAAAACAAACAAAAAACCAGTTTATACTATAGTAGAGCTACAAATACACATCAGTTTCATGATGCCAGCTATGTGACGGCGATATCTGCGAAAACTGAAATAGAGAAAAATAAAAAACCTCAAACAATAACCATTGACATGATCCATTTTAATTAGAAAAATTAAAAATCGAACTCTGTCAAACCCAATCCCCAGTGACGAGACAAGAAGATCACTGCATTAACACAATTTAATATAGACACTCTCAACCTGCTTAACCCCAACATCTAACCTCTAAAAGAGCCAAAGCAGTTAATTCTCCATCATCCCAGTTTAGTTTAGCAAACCCACTGCACAAACCAGCCCTCGTTTTGGTTTCAATTTCAAAGTCCGTAGAAAGTAGTGTTCATGCCAGCACAGCTCTCACTATCAGAGCATGAGAGCACAATACGTGCATGTTTACCAGTAACTGACAAATTAACGTGGGCAACGACTGCAACAGATTTGCTTTGCTTTACAGCTTTGCCTCTGCTGCCTTTAATCTCAGCCTCACCTAAAAGCTATTTACTATTATCTTCTTTGGGAACTCAATGTCTGTTTTTATGGGACACAACTGGGCCACACAACGTCATCAGGCAATACAGCTGATGCATCTCTATGCTGAATATTTGTGACTTTCTAGAGGGACGTTTATAATCCACCAGGAAAGACTGAAATATTTTATGAGACACACTCACCTTTTTCCGATTTCCGCAGGAAGTAATAGGCATTTGTGGAACTACTACATCCCATGATCACCGAACAACGTTTCTGTGGGGTTGCAAATAAATACAGTATCATCAAAATCAAGCAAGCAAGCAGTGGAAAGAGCATTCAATCACAATCAGGATGGGTGCCCTGTGTCCCAAGCTGCTGGGAGACAACCGTGAATATATTAATACTCAGTAAGGTTTAGAAACCACAGCTTTACAGGTGATCTATCTTGATTCAAGTATAACCCTGACATCTAATTTTTCCAACATAATGTACATCTGCGCGCAACCTGGGATGGACTCTTTTGGCATGGTCACCAGTTTGATTGCTCCAAGCTTCACGTCAGATATATGAAAGGAAATTTTGCAAGTTTTTTGTTTTTCAATTAAACAGAGATGTTTTAGAACGTTAGGTGCCTACATGCCAAGACTGCATTATGTGCCTAAAACAGGTACAGTATTTAGGTTTCAATATATTGATGTAGATGTCTAATTTTAGGCTCCCATGTCTGAAGAGTAGGTAACCCACAAGACTAACTAGTCTGAACCTTGATTTGATTTATAAAAAGTGAAAGGTTGTTAGACAAATATTTATGCACCCTAGACCATATTTTATGATTTGCCTAAGAAATTCAGGCCAAATAGCTTCATCTGAGGCCAGTCAGAACCACAAACAGTCCATACAATTACATCATTTTCACCTGGAAACGATGCATATTACAGGGGTTCATTCAGAAATTCAACCTGAATGGCAGGGTCACACTAATCAGAGGTTGCAGAGGTGCAGATAAATGATAGGATGTCCAAGACAAGCCTGGAAGCAGGAAAGATGTATTGAGAAGGTGGCTGGAGGCAGGCATTTCCCGTGTATGCATGGGGTGGAGTGGAGTGGAGGGATCAGGTAGGTCACCAAAAGTTTAACGCTACAATAAAGTTAGTCAGAACAGGGCAATTAAAGGAATGCATTCCCCTTGCACTGAACAAGTTTAGTCATTTCTAAATACTGGATGACAACCGTATGAAATTATACATGGGACTTTTCCTTGGGAGTTTGGGGATGTCATAGCATGAGAATGATGCAAAGCGAGCCCCAAGCACATATGACGTATTAAAATAAATAACTCTGGGGTGCACTACATCATTCATTCCATTGGGTGCCTGTGTTTGCGCACACACATAAGCATGCCCTCTCCCTAGGGTATATCCCTAATTATAAGGAATGAAAGGACAGGGGATGGCATTTAAATCTATTTGCTTTATCACAGCTGGAGTAGAGACTGGTCTAAAATAAACAACTAGCTGTCCTAAGAAAATAATCAGCTTTGTTAAATAAATACTGCTTTTCTTCACCTTCTGGTTTTACTCCTGGGGGTATTACACCATCAATGAATTGCTTGGATCCCAGCCACTCTCTTTAATTCTCACCATTGCCAAGGGTGCATATTGACAGCACCCAGCCTGCAACACATTTCAGGAATCGGCCAAATTCTGAAATCTCTCCCTCTGGGGAACAATAATAAAACCAAGCCAGTGGGATTCCTTTTTCATCAGCCAACCTGCCATTCGTTTCGGAGCCCACAGACACAGCCTTTGAGCTCATACTCCTTCTCGGTACAGAAGAAACTAGAATGAGCAGAGGAGTCCCGAAGGCTAACACAGCTAAGGTGGTCCTGTCCGTTCCTTCCGAGACTGGAGTGGATGGAAGGTGCACTGCTTTGATTTGCGACGGAAGGCGGCAAGTGTCATACGAAAGCTTGTGGGACAGAAGCCTACATTTTAGGAATCTGCCATGAAAGGAACGTGCAGCATTTTGGTCAGCAATATTCCTGGCAACATCTCAGCCACCCACACTCAACTGATGGTGAAGCATTGGTCACAGACAGCGCAATGTGAAAGCTATGGGGTTTACTTCCAACGGGATTCTTGAGGGACAGAAAGATGGTCAGGAAGGAGACGCAGGGGGTGGCAGGGAAGGACCTGACTGAGGGGCGAAGAGGGGAGAGATTCATGGTGGGAGTGGCAGACCAGAACTCGACTAGCTTTGAAGGACACAGAATCCTAGCTCTGGAGGAAGGGGGCCCCTCACCTCTCCCTCTCCATGCCCTCTGCACCTGCCTCCCCAAACTGGCCAAGTGCATTCACAAACACTAAGTAACAACGCCTACAAGGCATTACAATAAGAGGGCATTTGCACAGCTTATTCTCACCTACATAGGAAAATCCAGTTCCGTTTTGGTGCCATTAAAGGAGCGAAACCACTGAAGTGAGAGCTGTGCAAACAGCAGCTGTAAACCCAGCATTAAATCCCCACCACCATGGGGCCTTTGGAAAAACTGCGGAGAGGTGCCAACCCTAGACTCCAGCTGGCAGGGGCAGCAGCAGCCAAACAGGGACCCCTGGACATTCCAGTCTAAACTGTACAATTTTCTGACTCTCCCTGCCCTGTGCTGATTGCAGGGACACCATTGGGGGAGGGGGGGGGGGAGAAGAGGAGGGGGGCGGAGCAGGAGAGGGAGGGCAGTAATACCCTCCTGCTATCCTGAGTAGCCCTGGCTGAGCTGCACTGCAGCCTCCCCAGGTTGTAAGTGAAGTGGGGTGCTCTGAGCAGACCCTGGGGTTACTTCGCAGAGCCTCACCCTCACAGGAGAGCCATGACTGGTCGGTCCACAGTGTTGTCAGTCAACAGAGCTCTGAGTAGGCGGGGGCTCCCCCAATGAACCAGGTGAGTGGGGGAAGGGGCAGGTCAAACAGGGACTCTCTCTTCCCCCCCCCCGCCATCCCTTTCACATGCCTCCTCCGCCGGACCCTCCCACTCTCTGCAGGCAGGGGCCACGGACCTGTGATTGAGGGGAGGGGGCACTGCCAGGTGATTTAGGGATGGCTGGAGGTAGGAGACACTGCTGGGTGCCATAGGAAAGAATCACACCAAACACTCCCGGCGGGACACCACCCATGCAGTGCAGCAGTACCAGCCCCAAGACGGGATGCACCACAGAAGTCTGCTTTAATCCCAGAATGCAGCCCTGGAAAACATCCTCCCATCTAATCCTAGACATCGACTCAACCTTACTGCCAGGTCCAGATCGTCCCTCCTGGGTCTCCTCCACTGCTTGGTCTCACATGACTCCAAGGACAAGACTTCACTTCTGGAAAACTATAGCACAGTCAAAAACATCGCAGCATGGGATCTCGTTTCTCCATCTAATTGTGATGCTGTGTTATTTGTATTACCCAAGTGCCTAGGATCCCTAGTCCTGGGCAAGGACCTCGTTGTGTTGTACAAACACAGAAGAGAGAGTCCCTGCCCCAATGAGTTTACAGTCTAAGTGCATGGAGACCGTCCTAATAAACAGACATTAAAAAGCAAAGCAACAGTGATAAAAAACTGCACAATGACCAAGCACACCCACCTACTCTTCAAACCAGAGCCGAACAGATGAAAAAATAGAAGACAAAGAAAGAACAAAAGCACCAAAGAATGACAACTGCGTTGCCAGTCAGATTGAGCCAGTCAGCAAAGCAGTACAAGTTACGTCTTCGTGAAAAAACAAAAACATATGCACAGTGCAATTTCGCTGCTCAGCAGAGTTATAATTATTGTACTTAAATATAGACAAGTCTTACAAGAGTCCACACCTCCTACCAATGCAGCATATATACTCCTCTGTTGGGTCAGGTATCAAACTGAGACTACAATAAATCTTTGCAGATTTGCAAGTTTGTTTTGGTGTGACGATTCTTATCACTGAGTTTTCTAAACACCCAGGATACATACATTAAAAAGGCAAATGATTCAGAAGAAATAAGGTTTGAGTCAGAGCATGTCTTAGAGAAAAGAAATAACTTGCAAGTCAGAGCTAAAAATTTCCTGGGCAACCCAAGAATTATTGGTTTCAGAGCAGCAGCCGTGTTAGTCTGTATTTGCAAAAAGAAAAGGAGGACTTGTGGCACCTTAGAGACTAACCAATTTATTTGAGCGTAGGCTTTCGTGAGCTACAGCTCACTTCATCCACAGTATGCATCCAATGAAGTGAGCTGTAGCTCACGAAAGCTTACGCTCAAATAAATTGGTTAGTCTCTAAGGTGCCACAAGTCCTCCTTTTCTTTTTCCAAGAATTAATATTCTTGATAAAACTTTATGGGACTCAGTTTTGCACTGAGCAGCTACATGAACTTCCCTGAGATTGTCCAGGATGTAAATCAGCACAGAATTTGCTGCCACAGCTACAGGAATCTAAGGCATCACGCGAAAACACTACGTTGTTTAGGTGCAGGAAAATGCATTGTTACAAAGTAGAAACACAGCTGAGAAAGATTCTACCCAGAACGTATGTCACGTGGGGCTTACACAACAGAATCCACATTGCTTTGGCAACTGCAGATATGCCTGGATAATCAAGAGCTCAGATAATCAGAATTCAACAAAATAGACATACACTGGCGCCTCATTAGATAGGATCACAGATGTCGGAACTAGGGGGGCTGCTGCACGCCCTGGCTTGAAGTGGGTTTCCATCATATACAGGGTTTACAGTTTGGTTCGTTGGCTCTCAGCACCATCACTATACACATTTCTCCAGCACCCCTGGATGGGATGGATAGGACAAGGGGGAGTTGGAATAATCGGGATTCTACTGTATTATTACTAAGTAGTGGGACCATCTATGGAACGCGGCCAAGCCTGCTGTAAAAAGGAAGATGTTACCATGTCATCTACAAACAACCAATAAATACAAATTAAGATCTTGCAAGAAAAAAAATTAAAAAAAAAAAACGTTAAAATAAAAGTCCAACAACAAGAAAAAATTAAAGGTAACTGACACTAAAGACCCAACACCTTGTCTTTACCTCCTGATAGCAAATACACGTGTTCCACTGTTTGCAGTAGAATTGGATCCAACCATAGGCTGGTAAGGGTTATGTTTTATAAACAGTCATCTGCACATGGGCAGCAGATGGGGTGTTGGCAAAGAGAACTGCACTTAAAAAACACTGCCGTCTCACATAGCCAAAAGCCAAAGAACTTCATCAAGGTCCACTTTCCTCCACAGGAGTTATTTAATAACCCTACCACACAAGACATTGCTACAAAGAAAGAAAAAATAGAAAACTTACCTTGTCCCCAATCTCTAGTTTAAAGAAGGATTTATTTGGATAAACACTTCAAAGATCTCTGGGTGGTTTTTTTTAAAACATGGTTTGTTGTTTGTGCATGTTTACACATATATATATATAAAATCAGCCTTTGATGCCCAATATGATTAAGAGTCTCTGAGATGATTTAGTTGGACAGTCCCATCTGAGGCCTTAAAATGATGAACGAGCTTCTCCAAGCATATCTTCCTCTCAGCCACTCTGTGAAAATTCCCATTTCCTTTTGCACGTCCAGCATGAAGCACATGTGATGGTCTCCAAAGAGAGCACAGACCTTAGGATTTATTTACTGCACAGTTGTTTTGAGATGCTTTCAAAGCCCTCCCCATGTGACTCTTACAAAAGGCAAGAGATCTGAAATGGATTAGGATTACTAGCAGGGATTATGGATGGGAAATATAGCACGCTGGCCTCTCACGTTTTAACTGAGCAACCAGCTCTTATACACCTCCCGCTGCCTTTTGTAACATGAAAAGTTTCTCTGGGGAAAAAGTTCCCACTCAATCCCTACTTTGGGAGGAAAGGTCCCTTGCTCCGGTCAGGATTTTGCAGTGCAGAGGACATAGGCAAATTAAAACCCAAAAGAGAAAGCTCCTAGTTCCTGGAATTGCAGAATGGCTTTGTCTTGGTTCCTTTTAGGCCTAATCAGACAAAAAGCTTCAAAGTAATACAGATACCCTTGCCAGCACAGGGCAGTTCATAGCCAGAAAATCCGTACTTATCTCATCTGGGACCACTATACTTGCTGGGAATATAATAGTGTTTTTAACCAAATGTGAATCCCAGTGGATGCAGTTTTGCATTCCTAGCTAAATTCTGGATTCAGAGAACTGGAAAGGAGCCTCTTCCACCATCCTTGTATACTGCAGTTCTAAAGGGTTCGCCCTCCACATAGATGCAAAAATCCTTATTGAACCATAGGTGTTGGAAATAAGGGTGCTGGGGATGCTGCCACACGCCCTGGCTTGAAGTGGTTTCCATCATACACAGGGTTTACAGTTTGGTTCAATGGCTCTCAGCACCATCACTGTACACATTGTTCCAATATCCCTGTACTGAATCCCAGTGAATTTATGTCATCTCTCCTTGTGGCAATCCCTTGCTTAGGAAAAGTAATGAAGAGACTGCCCGAAGAAACCATGATAAAAGTCACACTGTATATGCAGCAGCAACTCTTTCGTACTCGTGGGGCTCTGCCACACTTGGAAAAATCAACCTAAATTTAAAAAAAATAAAGGTACTTGGACATTATGCAAGGCACTGAATTTAGCCGTATGGAGTGGAAATCCATCAACTTCATTTACAGCAGTTAACCTAATGGCGAATTAAAATAGCGGAGCTCGGTTCATTGTTATTAGATGTTCATGAGTAACCAGACTGCTGCTGGGTGTTTGTGAAAACTGTTTGCAACAAACCACACTGACATTTGTTTGCATAAACTATTCACTGGGTACTTACAGGTGACAAATATCTGCAAAACCAGGATCCATTTGCAAACAGGGGGGAAAAAAGCTATATTCATAACAAATGTTAATTGCAATGAGTAATTTGATCATATCTATAAACCACAAAGATTCTGGGTCAGATCTTTAGCGAATGTAAATCAGCAGACCTCTAGGAAAAGTCCATAGACCTATGCCTATTTACACCAGCTGAATATCTGGTCCCCTAGCTTTGGGTGTGGCTGTTATGAGAAGATATGTGAATGAGAGAGAGGCAGGAGTGGCTGCCAGCTCTACAAATTAAAGTGACATAGATACGGAATTAAGAAATCGGTGTGGGCTCCTTTATTCCCACATTCTTCCTGGAACCCTCTGTTTCTCTTCACATCAATTACGACACTAGCTCTATAACTGATGCTCCTGAGTAAACTGGGTCAAAGAAAAGCTTGCAGTGCCTTTATCCAGGTAAAAGTAGAGCATGTAGGTAAGTACGTAATGA